GGGCCCGCCGAGCTGGGCGCCGAGGCCGCGGGCAAGGGCCGCGCGCCCGCCGAGCAGGACTGGGTCAACCGGCCCAAGACGGTGCGCGACACGCTGCTGGCGCTGCACCAGCACGGCCACTCGGGGCCCTTCGAGAGCAAGTTCAAGAAGGAGCCGGCCCTGACTGCAGGCAGGTTGTTGGGTTTCGAGGCCAACGGGGCCAACGGGTCTAAAGCAGGTAGGGGCGGCTGTGCAGCGAGGGGCCCAGGGCGAAGGGGACGCGGGCAGCGGGGAGGGGGGTTGTCGCCTTCCCATTCCCTGGATCCCCGGGCCCAGAAACAACAAACACCCAACTTCCTGCTCGACCTGCGGCGGAACCAACGCTCAGTGGCAACGTGTTGAGGTGCTGAAGCAGCACAACAGAGATGAGTCACAGCGGGCTCAGGCACTGACACGGGGTTTTCCTTTCCCAGCTCATTCTGTGATGGGAGCGTCAGGGCACCAAGGCGCCTGTCGGGGGACGTTAGCAGTCACATGCATGGTTCAGAAGTGGGGTGCATGCGTGCGTGTGCAAGAACAGGCGACTGTGGACGTGTCCTGTTCTGCGGCTTGCTTGTGTCTTAAGTCAGTCCAGAGGTCTGAGGGTTGAAACTTACACGAGTCTTTTACGGATGTCCTTTTAGAGACTAGACATCGTGTAAGACGTTTTGTTCCGTATTGGTGAAAGAAGGATCTTTTTTAGTGCACCTTGGTTTATCCTTTCGTTTTTCCCTTTTCTTTGTTTTTTTCAGTGGCAAGAACAGCAAGGAAAAGGAAGCCTTCTCCAGAACCAGAAGGTGAAGTCGGGCCCCCTAAGATCAATGGAGAGGCCCAGCCGTGGCTGTCCACGTCCACAGAAGGGCTCAAGATCCCCATAACTCCTACATCCTCTTTTGTGTCTCCACCGCCACCCACTGCCTCACCTCATTCCAACCGGACCACACCGCCTGAAGCGGCCCAGAATGGCCAGTCCCCCATGGCAGCCCTGATCTTAGTAGCAGACAATGCGGGGGGCAGTCACGCCTCAAAAGATGCCAACCAGGTTCACTCCACTACCAGGAGGAATAGCAGCAGTCCACCCTCTCCGTCCTCTATGAACCAAAGAAGGCTGGGCCCCAGAGAGGTGGGGGGCCAGGGGGCAGGCGGCACAGGAGGACTGGAGCCAGTGCACCCCGCCAGCCTCCCGGACTCCTCTCTGGCAGCCAGCGCCCCCCTGTGCTGCACCCTCTGCCACGAGCGGCTGGAGGACACCCACTTTGTGCAGTGCCCGTCCGTCCCTTCGCACAAGTTCTGCTTCCCTTGCTCCAGACAAAGCATCAAACAGCAGGGAGCTAGTGGAGAGGTCTATTGTCCCAGTGGGGAAAAATGCCCTCTTGTGGGCTCCAGTGTCCCCTGGGCCTTTATGCAGGGGGAGATTGCAACCATCCTTGCTGGAGATGTGAAAGTGAAAAAGGAGAGAGACTCGTGACTTTTCGGTTTCAGAAAAACCCAATGATTACCCTAAACTAAAACTGCTTGAATTGTATATATATCTCCATATATATATATATATATCCAAGACAAGGGAAATGTAGACTTCATAAACATGGCTGTATAATTTCGATTTTTTTTGAATACATTGTGTTTCTATATTTTTTTTGACGACAAAAGGTATGTACTTATAAAGGCATTTTCTTCTTTTGTTAACGTTATTAGCATATCTTTGTGCTTTATTATCCTGGTGACAGTTACCGTTCTATGTAGGCTGTGACTTGCGCTGCATTTTTAGAGCACTTGGCAAATCAGAAATGCTTCTAGCTGTATTTGTATGCACTTATTTTAAAAAGAAAAAAAGCCAAATACAATTTTCTGACATTGTAAGATTGCCTTACTGTCTGTTATTCTTTATTGCTGGCCCCTTTCTCAGGCCTGAGGCCAATTAGGAAGGAAAGGAAATGAGTGCAAGGAGCACTGTTGTCAAGTGGGCATGCCACTGGGAAATATCGCCAGGTTTACCCCAAAACGTTGTCCTCTCAGAGGATAGGAAAATAGATTTTGAATCTCTATTTTGTTCTTAAAGTTCAGTTCTTGGAATACTGATGACTTGTCTGAGAGGTGCTGCTGGAAGAGGATTGTGTGGTTTTTTTTGGGGGGGGGGGGGCTTTTTTTTTTTAAGGCAAAGTTGACCACTGTTCACCGTCCACGTGATCAGTTGTAAGATTACAATGCTGCATGCTAGCTGGTTATATAAGACGCGGTTCCAGTGATGGAGGGCGTTCTCACGGCTGGTGGTGCCCAAGATGGCACTGCCATCTTCAGCAGAGCCTGGCTCTGCAGCGCCACTTCATCTTTTTAAACACCCTGAGTTCTGTCTGTCGTTGGTGTTGTCATTTCCTTTGAAAGAATCACAAGAGAAGTTACAGTCCAGGTGAACTTCGAGATTGTGGGGTTGGTTTTGTTTCTGTTTTGTGTTTTGTTTTTTATCATTTACCTGTAGTGCTGTTGCTGTTGATGCTATCACCTACACCCTGTTTCTAGTGAGTGCTAAATACAGTATGGTACAATGACAATAACAGCCGCGTGGTGCTGTGTTGCCAGGACTGCCCGTGGGCATATCAGTGACAGCCCAAATGTGGGTGGAGGAAACCTGTAATTTCCTTCTTAACATGTGTTTGAAATACCAAGTGAATAATACTGTTCTTCTGGGGGGAAAAAAAATGATAAACTAGTGAAAATTAAAGAAATGAAAGGTTTTACATAATAGGTCCCACCTCTCAAACTATTTTTAGAAGACTTTTGTAAACTAATTTCTTTTGATCACTATTTTGCATCAGTAAGATGATTTTTTTAAACCAATAAATCTTCAGTTATTAGAAATAGCTGTCTCACAGTGATACTGGTTTTTCTTTTGTGCTGTTATGATTTAACATTGACAGGAGCACTATTTTAAATTCATATGTTCAGGTGTTTGTAACTTGTCCTTATGATTAGGCTGAATCATGACTTCAAGATCTACTACAATATGTGTATATCATTCACAGCCTAGCCTCTATTTTAATTTGAAAATATATAGATTGTTACCAACTTTGGGTTACTTTTTAGTTATGTGTTTTGTCTTTTTAAAATTGTTCAAGGTATTTTTTAATGGTCAAGTTACTAACACTTGAAAATCAGATACTGCACCAAATACGGTATTTTTTTGTAGTGTTTTTAATGAGTGCACCTACTATTAATGCTGTGTGAGTTCATGTTATCAGTCATTGATACATTGCAAACAGACTTGCATGATTAACCAGTTTGTCGTTACACCTTTTTTTTTTTTAATTGGAATATATATGACTCAGATCAGACTGGTTTCTCTCCTGTGAATGCACAAATGCAGAAACACAGAGTCAATTTTACGTGTCCGTAAAGACATTTGTAAAGAATTCACTGTTGTGATCTGTTGTATAAGTGTGTATCTAGGCACTTTACTATAAACTGGAGTTTGACCTCATAGATATTGATCACAATCATTTGACATAATTTGTGCTAGCTATCTGTATGTTTTGCAGTCTTAATACAGATACGCTTTCCAAAAAGATTAATAAAGAACTATCCTGTTGTTTTGGATAAGTCTATCCAGCTGTGGAAAAGGCAACCTGTGGTTTCTCTGTGCTGGTGTTTAAGGGGGAGAATATGAACAGCTTTGAAGGGCTGTGTGTTGGAGTTTCTGCTATTAAAATATAAGATCTGCACAAGTCTGACTGGGCCTTGGGTGGCCCTCATGGAAGGCTTATAGCTGGGAAGTGTTGATGTGGGTTATTTTTCTGACATTCTCTTAATTTAAAAAGTTAGCATTGGGACACATGTTAGATCTTTTGTTGTACCTGATGGCAGTGCAGAGATTCTCCACAGCTGGATAAAAAAATCAGAAAGCTACTTACTGTACGTGGGCAGTATCAGATTTCAAATCCTAATATTTCAGCTGTGCTTTTAATACTCAGAATATTAGGGGATGGGGTGTTGAAGCTTTCCCTTTTTTGCTTTAACAATTTGTAGAATTTAACAGATGTACTGTCTTTCATGTGGCCTCACGTTTAAAGTTATGAGAACGTACACAAGGTTTACAACTTTTACTATATACCTTCCCTTGGCCACCAAGTATTTTAAAAGTGTGCCACCTTTTAACCTTTATTTTAAGTTGAAGGTGATACTTTTTCTATATATGATGAAACTCATGTCAACTGAAGTGAGTGTAATCTCAGAAACCAACATCATTATATTTTAAAATCACACTATGGAAATATCACCTGCATTCTGTCATTTGTCAGATTTACAGTACCTTTTTTTCTTTAACTTTTAGCATTAAATAAAAATAAAATTGGGAGCACTGAACATTTTCTGAGGCCTTTTTTAATTTTTTAAAGTAAACTTAGAATGGCTGTTCTCATCACTAATGGCAATGTGGCTGAAGGTTGTGTGGGGTTGGGGTTGGGGTCGGGGTCGGGGTCAGGGTTTGACCGGAACTGCAGGAAAAGAACAGGAGATAAAAGACATGGAACAGAAAGCAACTGAGGGTAAAAGAAAGTGCTAGGGATTGGGGAGAGGGCAACTGGATAGGGAAACATGAAGACTGAACAAAGTACAGACAGAAAGAGAGCCCCTGTATATTTTCTAGCTAGCAGTAGAGCCAGCCATTCTGCAAGAGTAGATTGGAAGGAGAAGATAGTGATGACATTGAAAACAATGTCAAGACCTGGAGCTGCTCTTTGGAAAGCTTTGGAATAAACCAGCCATGTTGAGCTACAGGAAATGCACTGAAGACAAAAGGGTGTGTGTGTGGCGTGGGGGGGAAGCTGCGCTTTGGAAAGCTTTGGAATAAAGTGAGAGCCAAAGCCATGTGTAAGCTTTATTGATGTCCTGAAACCTCAATTATAAATAGAGATAAAAGGTAGGATGCACTGAGATACATTATAAAACTACTGTCTACTATCACGTAGTAAGGAATTTCCTAGATGTTGCAGCTTTTACACTTTTTATTGATCAATGGCTTGGCAGACTTTTCCAGGAAAGGAAGCTGTGAAACTTACAAAGAACCTGAGGCTGGGCTATGCACAGACTTACTCTATGTTTTAAATTAGACAGGAACGGTGAACGTGTACTTGAATATTATTTCCACTAGGGGTGGTCCAGTAACTTGGGAGGCCCATCACTATATAAGAGGGGTCTTGAAAAAGTTCCTGAAAAAACAGAATGGAAAGATAACATGCGTCTTTCCACGAACTTTTTGAAGAATCCTCGTACGTTCTACTAATTATCTTAGTAGCCCACTTAAGGCAGTTTTCAAGAAACCTCATTTCTAAGAAGTTATAGATTACAATACACAATGAGATTTTCCATTTAATTAGGTGAAACGATTAATCCGTTTTTGTTTTCTAACTTAAAAATGCTAAAGTTTATTTTGTAGTGAAATTAAAAATAGTGTAACTTGCAGGAGTCATTTTAAAAATGTTGAAAGCTCCTCCCAAAGATAAACTTTAAGGATTGCATTCAGTTTCCAGTTAAAAAAAAAGAAAAAAAAACCACAAACCAGACTCTTGATGTGGCAGATGTCTTTGTTTATCCCCCAAAGGGGAGGAAAAGTTAAAAGGAAAATATGGAACTTCTTTTAATTCCCAGACTTTTAAGTCCCTCGTTACTCAAAGTTGTTTTGCATGTGATTTATAGATGGTTTTATTTGGTTAGTGAAGAGTGAAATGTTTCTCTTCCTGATTCCTAAGTGTATACGTGGAATCATTCAGAAAAACGTTCAGTTGCGTGGAGGCCACTACAAGTCCTGAGTCACCCTCATTTGCCTGCCTTTGTAGGAACAGTGGGTGAGAAGACACGCCTTTCCTCTGTCACAGACCGAGGTCAGAAGCACCAATGAATGGAATACACATTTACCTACTTCATCATCTGGGGGGGTTCTAGAAATGGGCGGAGGGGGTGTTTTAACTCCTTCAGTGCCACTGGTTAGGCCTCTGACAGCAATAATACTACAATCAAATAAAAATTACACATGTGGCTTTACAGATTATCAACTATCTCGATCCCTTGTTTCTGTTGACAGCCTGCATTTTTTTCAATATTTCTGAACCCCTCACTGTGATTTGAAAGGCACAGAAATAGACAAGTTAATTTGTAAATGACTTGTTTAAGAGGTTGGGAGACGGAAACTGGATTTATGGATTATCCGTGGATTTCTCTATTAATCCCCCAGATAAATCGATGATTAGTCAGGGATATCCTCACAACCCCTATTTATCATTAGCAAATTAATTTGTACCTAATTTAATAGTGAACTTGGTTTTAACCCATCAGTGGGTCCCCTCTGCCCTCCCCATGTCAATACAACTTACCCTAAAACACTTGATTTAAAACAGCTTTCCTTTGATTTGTTAATTCGAAGTGTAACATTTTTTTTTTTTAAAAACATGACCGGTAAGGGGATCTTAACCCTTGGCTTGGTGTTGTCAGCACCACGCTCAGCCAGTGAGCTAACCGGCCATCCCTATATAGGATCCGAACCCGTGGCCTTGGTGTTATCAGCACCGCACAGTTCCTTAACATCTCTGTGCTTTAGTTTCCTCTTCTGTAAAATGTTGATAATAATAGTACCTGTCTCATGGGGTGGTTGTAAGGATCAAAAAAGTTAGTCTGTATAACATGCTTTTATTTATTTATTTATTTTTTTAAAAGATGACCGGTAAGGGGATCTCAACCCTTGGCTTGGTGTTGTCAGCACCACGCTCAGCCAGTGAGCTAACCGGCCATCCCTATATAGGATCCGAACCCGTGGCCTTGGTGTTATCAGCACCGCACTCTACCAAGTGAGCCACGGGCCGGCCTAGAAGTGTAACATTTTTTAAAAAGATTATAGAATATGAAATCTATATTTGCACTGGTTTTTATCACAGAATACTGTGTGCTCCTGGCATTGAACAACATAAAACAATCCGACCCACAGAAAAGGTATTTAAGGGCGAAATAACTCTACCATAGTCAAATCATTTAATCATGTATCTTAAAGCTGTTCTTTTATTTTGAATCTGAAAAACAACTAAGTGAAATGGCCTAATTATCACACCCTATTAAAATGGAGTAAACAGTTTCTTCTATAAAACAAATTTAAGCATTTCTTTGAAAAAATGTAGAATGTCCCTTACATAAAACTCAGAGTAGCACAAAATCACGGAATAACAGTCTTCACTGCAAGTAAAATTTATCAGAGAATCAGCCACGAAAAGCCTCTGGGAGATGGTTCTCTCCCAGGCAAGACAAGGTCTGGAGACTAGACTACAGGATTTCCATTTAAAATTGAGAATATTGATGCCCGGTTGATCTCATCCTTTGAATGGGCTTTAGAAGTTAGATCGCATAATCCGAAGAGCCTCCTCCAGCAGCTCAGCAGAAGCCCTTGATGCTGAGATAAGACATCCCGTATACGGTAAATAATGTCACATCTGAATATTTCCAAATACAGTTTACATTTTGGGGAAAATATTACATAACCTGTAGATCCCATCACTCACCACTTTTACTTAGCAATGAGTATTTCTAGGTATAGCATCACCATCAGTTCACATTCAGATGCCCATTAGGAGACAGGCCTCACGTACCCCTCGTGGGTCAGGTTTTGTTTGGTAGGCACGCAGCTAGCAACTTCAGCAGATCAGCAGTTAGGTCCCTGCAGATTTCTCTGCCATTTAGAAAACATCTTTCCTTTGGCAGTTCAGATAGAGTATTTTGAACTGTGCATGTGGCTATTTATGTCTCCAAGAGAGGGAAAAAAAAAAAAAATTTAGGAACAACATTTCACCAGGGCTAGGGCCTCAATTTATTTTAATGTATGAAAAGAGTTTATTAATAGTGGACTTCAAATGACTGAGCTTTTTTCCTCCTATCTTATGATTTTTAAATATTTGCCATACTAGTAAGAGTTTTGCAGAGAAGCGATGTGTCTGGGTCAGAATAAATCAGCAATTCTTTACACGTACAGCCTGGACTTGGGTCTCATGTGTCTCCTCCAGCCTGAGAGACTGTATGTGTGAGCCGTAGCCCAGGCTAAACACCCGTTACCCCCATTTTATTTCTTCCTGCAAACAGCAATTCAATTAGCTTTTTTGGTGATACAAGATAAAGATTTATTGTACCCCGTATACAACTGAAATCAGAATTTCACAGGAGGGTCACGGTCATTAGGGAAGTTCTGGAATACTCTTCTCTTAATCAGCACCATATGGATTGTCGCTGCTACTATTTAACACCTACTAAGGAGGCCCCTCATTCTGGGCTTTGAACAGCTGAGGGTGTAGCCACAGCTTTTGTGGAGCTTGAAGTCGAAGCCACAAGGAGGGAATGTCATTTTGGTCAAAGGCAAGTACTGGCAAGAACGAACCACAACTGGTTTCCTTCCAAGAGCTGGGAAAGTGGAGTTAGTGCAAAATTCTCACATGGAGAACTGAGTCTCTTCCTGGAACTCTTGCCCAGAACCACAGCAGGATTCTGGAACCCAGTCCAAGTCCAAAGTGCTTTCCCACAAGGAGTCCCTTATCACTCAGTGTGCGACCACCACGCATCAGGAGGTCGCAGGGCCCCCTTATCTTCTCACCCACTGAAAGGCCAGTGGGGACATGGGGGCTGGGTCAGAATTGGCAAATTGTAGCCTTGTCTTTTCTTCTTTTTTTTTTTCTTTTTTACTTTTGTTGAAGTGCAGAAGGGCATTCTGCAAGAGGAGGAAGGCCTCCAGCTCTGCCCAGCCCTGTTTACTGCAGGGGAAGGAAGGCCAGGAGGCTCCCTCCCTCCTGGGCTGTGGGCCCGGGGACCCAGTGGAGTGAAAGGGCCTGGCCATGGGGACCGTGGGGGGGGGGATGTCACGTGCACGACAGGGGCTGCCCCAATGTTACTCCTCTTTTGGAAATCATGATGCTACCTTTTTTTTTTTTTAAAGGCTGTGGCTATAATAATCCAAATGTTCCATGCTGGTGGAGTAGACATGCATGGTTAAGGGACATCTGTGTTCACAGAAAGCACACTCATGATGCACAGTATGTGTTAATAAACATGCATTTATTAAGCAAACCTCGGGACATGCCCTTATGGAAACTACTGAGTCAGAGTCCCGTAACAACTGACTGCCTAAAAGGGAGTTGAGTTTTTATGGACGAACTTTTATTTAAATGAGAAGGGGAAAAAAATGTTTTTCTCTGATCCTAGGACTATTGGGCACTTGAGTTTCTACCCAGCTAATTAACTTCTAATCTTTAGTATTTATTCAATTTAATACTCTGCAATATATAAACAGCATGGCTCTGGTTATTTTTAAAATAACATTAAAATGACATTTATCCATC